ATAAATGTTTTAACACAATAACTAAGTAAATGACACAAAGTCTATGTTAACCAGTTTGATGAAAATATTTCAAATTGTATATGAAAACACTACACTGTATCCCATGTTTGCATTAATGTACACAGCTATCATTTAATAAAAAAAAAGAAAAAAGAAAAAGTCTGGCTGTTACTCAAAGTGCTCAAAAGGAAGTGGCTTCCCACTCCACGCAGGACCACACGGGGGAGCTCCGGGGCCAGTGGAACCGCAGAGTTGGTGAGAAAGTATGGATAGAAACCTTTATGGTGGTTTCATGGAAAAGTCAAGGCAGCGTAAGCAGGCTTAAGGCTGTCTCTAGTTGTATGGTAACTGGCCCTGTGACAATTAGAAAAGAATTATTGCCACCTGCAGTATAATGGCAGCTAGAGGTGTGTTGAGAGTATGGGTGCTGGATTGGATGGTGTAGATATAAAAAATGAGTTGTTTCCTATCTCTAAGAATGTGTCAGTCCTACTAGGGTCAGTCTCCCCAGGTCAGTAAGGCCCCATATACCAGAGCATCAAGAATACTGAGAATGAGAAAGCACAGTACATGATGCCCAAGATTTGTGCTCTGGGTGCTTACAGTATAGTGGAGAGGGATAACAACAGCAGAGGGCCCTCTTGTTTGTGTTCCTACAAGGAAAAATGCAGCGTTCTGGGATGGGGACATCAGAAGAGCTTTTATAGGTGAGGTGGATGTTGAAGGGTAATCAGGAGTTTGTGGCCAAAAAAGAGTTCAAATTCTCTAGAAATTCTCAAGGTAACAACAGGCAAGAAGCAATGAGTCCTATTCCTCATGTGAAGTGTTGAACTATAGTGCTGACCCTCAGGCAGAATTGGAAAGTGGGAGGCTGTTGGTAAGTGAGATTAGCTGACTCAGGAAGCCGGCTATGATCAGTAGGCAGGCAGGAAGACTTTGAGGGTAAGAGATATCTTTAAATAGTTGTTAGTATCTTCCATGGGAACATAAATTTATATTGGCAGCAGGGAATTCCTCCCTGAGCTTCCATCTATATACCAGTGCTTCTCAGCCAGGGTGGGAGATGATTTTGCCGCACATGGGATAGTTAACAATGTGTGGATACATTTCTGGTTGTTATAGTTAGAGCATGATATGGTATAGTGGTGTCTGGAGATGGAGGCTAAGGACAGTACTCAATGTTCCACATGACACAAAGTAGCCCCCAACAGTGAATAGTGACCTAGATCCAATTCAAATTGTATATAAAACCAGCACACTGTACTCCATGACTGCATTAATGAACACAGCTATAATTTAATAAAAAAGTAAAAAGAAGAAGTTTGGAACATATTGAACTTAAAAAACAATAATAATAATGCTAAGATAGAGACAATCTGCTACATGTTTCACTGTTTGATATTGTTATATGTGCATCAGATAGGATTTTCAAACAATTTAGAAAGAGTTCTTTATCACATCCCACCTGCTTCTCCTTCAGGCTTTCACATCTACATTGTGAAAACACTCAGGTTAGAAACAGGGCAGGCTGTTTGGATTTATCCTTTTGAGATTTTTTTTCTCCTTCCCATATTATCCTCCAGAAGTCATATTTTCTGGTCTTTTTTTAAATACAGTTAAGACACAGAAAAAAAAGTAAAATCCTTCTCTTATAATTTACTCTTATTACATGGACCCTTTCTTGATGTCTTGAGTTAGTTGATGGTTTGTCTTAATTTTTATTCAAATAAGTGATCATGAAGACAATGATTGGCCCAAAATCTATGCATCAGCTCTTTGGATCTTCTCCCCCAAGGTCAAGAAAGCAACTCTGACTCCATGTTTATCACTGACTTGATTTTCATTTCATGTTGGCTTAGAACACCTGTAGGGACTTTGCCACATATACATCCTCAGTTACCTTTAACTTTATAAAAAGGGCACCATGTGAGTCATTATTACCTCAATCATAGAAATTTCCTTTAATTCACTCTTACTTTGTCATGCTCTGACCCTGTTGCTGAATGTTGTTGCTCATTCATGTTGACTCAGCTAAACATCTGAGGTTGATGATATTTGACTAGTACCCAGGTAAAGCTCTTCCCTAAGAGTGACTGGTTGTTAGGACAAAGAATGCGTCATGACAAAGAATGGAACTTAATCATGGAGCTGTAAGTCAAGTCACAAAATGATACTGATCTGAGGATCACACTTTTGGAGGATTTTCAAGCTTCTATGTCCCTGTGGTGCAAGGCTAGTGGTTTCAAGGCTGGTGATTTTCATGGACACTGTAGTTTTGAAACTGATATTTTTCAAAGCTGGTGCAGAGCTGAGGAAATGGTCAAGGGCACAGTCCAAGTTAAAATACCAGAAACTTGACTTTTTTTAGTGAGTTCCACAATGTTTGTTTTGAATGAATCCTATGTAGAATATATTAAACTGTTAGTTAATTTCTGGAGTCATCACAAAAGTTGATATACACAATATTCATATTGCTTTCATGGAAAAATTAATGTTTAGAAGCAATCACTCTTCTGGAAGACCCACATCACCACTGCATTTATTTTTGCACAATAATCATGTTAGGGTGGAAAGATTAGTAGATGTTCTATGCAGGACCAGAAAAGAATTTCTCTAGGCTGAGATTAGTTTGTAAGAGTTCAGAGTTTTAACCTTATAAAGAGAACACTCTACCAAGGGTGATAAAGTGAGATTGTGTCTCAAAAAAAAAAAAAAAAAAAATATATATATATACACACACACACATTAAATATATATATATATTTTCTTTTTTGTCTTTTTTACTTTTGTCTTTTTACTAAAGAGAGGGAGTAAGTGAGAGAAAAAGAATAGGGAAATAGAAAAAGCAGGAAGCTCATGGTATTTCCAATAAAGAAAGAATGCCCCTAGGTAAGGTCAAACAGATCTAGAATTTAAGGGAGACAAAGCAGGTAATTCCAGGCAAATTCACAAGTTGCTGCAAATGTGATAGTAGCAAGGTTGAAAACAGACATTTTTTTCCATATACTTCTGAACCTGAGGCCTGACGTTCATATTCCATTGTTTGTCTGTCAAGAACAAATTTAAAAGGCAGATTTAGTTAATAGGTCTAGAAATTGGAAAGAAAATTTGTTTTTCCTTTAGACTTCTAGGATCTTCAATTGATTGTGAAAAGGGAAGTTGGGGTGGAGGGAATAACAAGATGAAGAAAGCAGGCAAAGGAGAAATTGATTTTTGCCCTTACTTAAAAACTAGGAGTTAACAATGCCTCCATTGTTTTGTTATAAAAATCACCCAATGTTACAACTCTCAAAAGGCCAATTTATTAATCTTACAGGTAAATATTCCAGGTCTTATAGTGATTAAGTAACTCCCCATGGGTTATGCATATATAGTTGGAGTTGGTAAACACAGTTGTTACTCTTTATTAATACAAAATATGGCTTCAAATTTTGTCTAATGAATCAATAGACAGTATGTTCCCATATTATTTCTGTCCTACTTTACCTCCATACCTCCATCAAATATTTCAAAGGAGCAATGCAATCAGAAAGTATCTGTATGGTGCTGACACACAATTTTGTGCTTATCTGGTTGTATGTCTGTCTTCTGAGTCATGCTGAAGTCTTCTTCAACATGACAAAATCAAAGTTATCCAAATCTCTTTAGCATCAGTGTTGTGGGTGCATGTCTATCATGTTCAAGATATCCACACATCTCGATTGAATCAGTGAGTAACTAGATTCTACTATGAAAAGAATCTCTGCTATGAAGGATAGAACTAGTTATTTATAATTTTCTTTTTAATCTAGCTAAGAGCAGAAACTTGGTCCATGAGGATCTCGAAGCATCAGTATCAGGGGGCTAACAGTGGGATAACACGCTACCAGAAAGCTGGTGGCATGTTGTAGCCAGGGAAGAGATGTGTACAAAACAACATTATACATTGTAAAGATAGAATTGATGAAGTAAAACAAAATGAAGGTGGTTGCCAGAAGCAGAATCGTCTGAGTGGCTTTTGCCTCAGGAGAGAACCTGTGGGAAGTACTGAGGGTGTGAATATACCTCATTCTCTGGTGGTGTCTGTGTAGGAGGAGGACCATGTAGACACTGGCCCCAGCCATAAGTCCCATGAACACAACATCTGGTAAAATGAATAGAATTGTGTAAACCACATCATCAGGTGCTTTAGGAGTTGCAGAGGAGCAGAGTCCATATATCCGTGTCTTAGTAGAATTGTGGAAATGCTGAAGGGCCTGAACCTCTATGGGAACAAATAGGTTTGTCAGCAGATTGGAGATCCAACATAGAAAGCAGGGGAAGCTGATGTTCTCCAAAGCTGTGTCTTTGAGCTTCATCCATCCCTCAGTTCTAGGGCTGATAGTGATGGCCTGAAAACTGCTCAAGTGGCAAGTAGTGCACAGAGAAAGGCCCCGGGCTGTTCTGTGGATATAATTGACAAGTTTACATGCAATATTTCCCAGGATGTTTGTTACTCCCCAAATATACATCATTTGAGGTATCCCTTTGAAGAGAAGTACCAAGAGGTTGGCCACAGCAAGGTTGGTGAGGATCAGGTGTGTGGGCCTCAGTGCCTGGGCTGTGCAGGCTGTGGTGGCATAAGTTATGAGAAGAAAGGTATTCCCCAGGACACCAATCCCAGTTTGTAGCACAAAGAGTAGCCCCAGGATCAGTTCACTGACAGTCATTCTCATGGGATCATGGAAGACATTATTCAGAAAAAAGTCTGAAGATCACAGAGTTAGAGCTCAGAGTAAAAGCACCAGTCCCAAATTTGCTTCAGTTTTCCTGGTTCTAATGGGAGTCCTGGGCCCTCACTAACTCTTCTTTCTGAAGACAGCTATTACATTCATGGCACCAGGACCCCAGATTGGTGATATCAGAACTGCTTTTCAGGTGAACAGCCTGTCATGTTTCTTTTTATACTCACACAGCCATGCAGGGTGAGGCAGTATTAGGTCTGTTTTTTCAATCCTTCAGTGTGCACGTCCAGGGCATCATCCACAGGCAAAGTTTTATCTGTCATATAAAAACTGTCTCTGAAATATCCCCAGTATGCAGAACAGGATTTTATTCCTTAAATATACAAAGATTAAATGTCCTGGTTCACTGTTCATTAGGGTTCAGAGCCTAGTGTGGGAGACATATATAAAATATGATAACTGTAAAATAAAAATCATGCCATGAATGAAGATTACGAATGCTGTTGTGGAAATGTGTGTCAGGGATTGTAACACTTATGGTTCTATGGTTGTATATACAAACTGCATTGTTTTTATTTTCTTAGAAAAATTTTCTCCCAAATTAATTAATTACTGTAAATTTATATTACAAGTAATCCAGTAATATAAAGGCACATAGATAAATAACTAATTTATGCCCTATCTGCCATTTGTAATCCTACTCCTTGTGATAGGCACACCTCAAGTGTGTGTTTTTCTACATTTTTCTTTAGTTGTAACAAAAAGTGTGTGTTTCAATAATCAGTAATCAATATAGGCCTAAATTTGCTGATATGTTTAGAAATTTAGTACATTCTTCCTCATAAGTCTTGTATCAAAGACAAAAAACCATACATAGCATGAAGAAGATAATAGGTAGATTAACGGTAAAAAAAATTCATCTGGGGTGGCACCTGTGGCTCAGAGGAGTAGGGCACCAGCCCCATATGCCAGAGGTGGCAAGTTCAACACCAACCCCGGCCATAAACTACAAAAAAAATAGAAAATTCATCTGCTTTTCTTCATTAATTCTAACAAAATACTTTGAAGAAATTCGACATCAAAAATTAAAAAAAAAACCTGAAAGTTATGAAAGTTTATGGATATTTCCTTAGCATGATTATAAGTGAATATTCTAGTGCTTCATTTATGTTTTGCTTTATAAACAAAACATAAAGGGAATGAGTGAGAATGAATCAATGTAATTATTCAAGATAAAATAAATTAGCTTAAAATCTCCAAGTAAAATAACACTATTTGGAGATGACATGATAATAGAATAAGAACCCCCTAGAAAATTAGTGTTAAAAATTAAATCAGTTAGTATAAATTGAGGAAGGCAATGATCTATAAAGTTAATACACAAAAATCAATAGCCTTCACATACACAAATAATAATCAGTTGTATGATGTAACAGAAAGCCATATATACAAAGCAAATCAAACGTTTTAATGTTTAGCCATACAATCAATAAAAAATGTAGAAAACTTGATGAGAAAAAGTCATAAACACCCCAGGAGGACACCAAAGCATCCCTAGTCAAAGGAAGATATTCGTCATTCCTAGGAAGGATGGCAAAACATCATAAAGACATCAGTACTCCAGAGTTAACTAGAAAATTTACTAGACCAGCACAATATAAAAAAAAAAAAAAACTTTTTTTTCTGGAGCCAGAGAAGTTAACCCTGAAAACTAAATGGAAAATAACATTTAAAATCATGCAGGAAAGTATAAAAGAGAAGTTGTGAGCTACGGAGAAGCTCTACCAAAAACTAGAGCATACATTCCTCTATGTTAATAATGTTACACCTGAATATAGACAGACACACAGTACAGAAATGGATATATAATTTTAAAATGAAATCATCCTTATAAATATTATAAGGAAACATGGGAGCATCCCTCTAAGTCCCATACAGGGGGAAAGACTTCTAAACTATTACTCAAAATCAAAAAGCAATAACCTATTGATAAAGTTAACAACATAAAAGCTAAGAAAACAATTTTCATGAAGAAACACTCTAAGAAAGCATAGTTTCTGTTTCTGGTGTAGCTCAAAGAATCCAATTAAACCAATTTTCCTGCAAATAATAACCCATAGACTCTGGACAAATATATAAACTATGATTGTAAAACATGAACTACAGAGGCAAAGAAAGTTCATTAGTGAAGGAGCAAAAGGAGGCAGATCCTGGGATGGTTGACAATGGGGAGAGAAGGGTGAGTTTTCTACTTTCCAAAATGACTCTGATACCCAGGGCAGTTGTCATTGGCACACACAAGTGACTAAAGACAAAGTAGATCCCCATAGTCCCACTGGCTCAAAGAACCAAAGCAAAAAGTTGAGGTCAAATGCAGAGGTTGAAAAGGAGAAATCTGTGGAAAAAGAGAGCTAAAAGATGGGACCATAGGTGTAGGTATGACTTTTATGCAAATCTTTGGCAGATGCCTGAGGACTCCTGCAGATACCAAGCTGTCCCAGGAAACTAAAGTAACTGAGCTGAGACTTCAGAATATGGAGTTTGAGTTTAGCCAAATTAACTGTCTACTGAAAGAGCAATAATATATCATTTCATGTACATGTCACAACGACACAGAATCCTATCCCTACAATGTATGATAACCCATCCCAAAATGATTAAACCTCAGCAAATATGATAAATATGAGCTATATTAAAGGCAAAAAACAATCATTAAAAAACCCTAGATAGCCCAAATGTTGGAATTAACAAAAATTGTTTTGAAGCCTATTTTATAGTTGTGATCACAGTGAGAAAGAAAAATAAGTGAGGAGAAATAGGAACTACGTAGGAAACCAAATGAAAATTCTAGAACCCAACAATAAACATTCAAATAAACAAATAACTAAACATAACAGGGAAATCAAAGCATAATAACTAGATGTTTATCCACACCAAAATTATAAAAAGTGGACAGAACAGTAAAAACCAGTTACGTAAATTGGAGAACATCTAGACACAGAGAGAGATTGTATGATATTACAAGATAATAATAAATATATATATATTGGTTTCTGCACTGGTTTCCCGACACAAAGTTGTTGAAACCCTTGTTAATAGAGTTGCAAGGAGAATTCCTTGTTCTAGTACTTGATCTCTCACCCTGGTTCCTGACAAAGAGCTTTTAAGTTGTTTATAATTTCCTGAGTGATGCAAGCATTTGAAACAGGTCTCCTTAATCCTTGGGAAATTCCTGGGTGATGAGAGCATCTTTTGCCCCCAAAGCATGACTCTTGGGTAACCTCAGCATGGGGCTGGTTCTCAGGGGAACCAACCTTGTGATTACAGGGTTGAAATGTTCTGCATCATCCTGACTTCTGGAAAAAAGAGAGTGGTGAAGGTTGAATTGAATATCAAATACCAAGGCCCTAAAGAATCACAAAACAATCATGATTGTATAAGGAAGGGCAGGAATTGGAGCACTGTCAGTTTGCTGAACACACACCTAACTGCTTTTGGTTCCAGATGGCCACACACCTTCTGCCCACTCCAGCAAAGACACTGATCCATTCATCTGCTTTTAGTGATCTACTCAGGTTCCCTTTCTAATGTTTTTGCTTCAGCACAAAGTGTAACAAGAATCATGTACCTGTCTGTCAGGAAAAGACTTTTTTGTAGAGTAACAGAGTGGGCTCCATAAAGAGCAGTGAGACTGAAGACAGTATTCTGAGATCCTGAAATTAAAATAAATAAATAAATAAAAAAACCTGAACTGAGAAGTGCACACTAACCTCAGGTCACATGAGCACTTTCCCCTTATCCAGCATTGAGATACTTCCAGGGTCACAGCCTGAAGTACAAGAACATTAAGAGGACTAACCTACCTTAGTCAGAGATCAAATCAGGCTGGGTGAGTTAGGGTTTCCTTCTAGTAAAATCATGGTAAGACAACCCATGGTCAGATTTGTTAGGTGAAAATATCAGCCCTGTTTTTTGCTCACAGTAACATGTCCACTGAAACTCATTCTTTGTGATATTAGAAAATTAATGATATAAACAGTAACCTGACTGAGAATTGTAATATTAATACATTTGTCATGAAGTAAATTCAGAAAACCAGTAAAAGGGAAAGACTACATTTTTATGGTTTCTGAATGAATAGAGTACCTTGAGGAATGGTAGAGAATAATCTAGAGAATTAATCTCACCTTTGTAGATCACCTCTGTTAACCTGTTGTGTCCATGAAGCATGTTGTTTAATTTTATTAACTTATATTTTTACTTTTGTGGAGGTATTTATATAAATGTAAACACATTATTCTTAGTAAAGCATCACAAGAATGGAGAAATAAGAAGACTATGTACTCAATTCTGATATGAGAATGATTAAGGTCCTAGTATACAGTGAGAGGTGGGGTATGGGGAGAGCTGAGAAAGGGAAGGAGAGATGGGTGGGGTGTCAGGGGCTGTGGTACACCTTTTGGGGGGTAGACTCAAATATAAGAGGGCCCTTATCTAGCAAAAACAATCAATGTAACATGGTTCTGTGTACGCTCAATTAATCCCAAACAATAAAATAATTAAATAAATGAATGTAAAATGAAGAATTGGCTGTAACATAAACATTTTCTTGTTCTGTTAAGAAATAGTCAAGAGTCAGCTCAGTGCTTGTAGATCAAGCTGCTAAGGCACCAGCCAGCCACATACAAATCCAGTTTGGGCCTGCCAAACACAAATGACAGCTACAAGCAAAAAATAGCCAGGCATTGTGGTGGGCCCCTGTAGTCCCAGCTACTTGGAAGGCTGAGGCAAGAGAATCTCTTAAGCCCAAGAGTTGGAGGTCTCTGTGAGCTATGATGCCATGACAACTAGGGTGATAGCTTGAGGCTCTATATCAAAAAAATAAAAGTTAAGAGTAATGTAATTATCAAGAACTACTCAAATTAGAGTGTAAACATTTTTGTTGAGTAGCTATTGCTAATGCAGATTTACTAGTGATTATTTTTAAGGTTATGGATAGGTTGCAAAGAATATATTGATAAGTTGTCACTCACTATTAGGGTAGTAGAATGTATCCAAAGAGATAATCATGTCTATTTGGGATTTTTTTCTGAGATAATATTTTGGAGGTTTTCAGATGGAGTCTGTGTTAAGATCTATTGTGGACAGAGAGGGGATTTGTGAGGAGTCTTAATAACTACCAAGTGTCCCCTGTTGAGAAGTAGTTTAAGGAGCTTTTATTTGCTTATTTATTTGTCTCTAGAGAAAAGTATATCTAAGTTATATACAAACCATCATCTGTTTCTGTTTTAAGGTTTATACAACAAATTTTAGGTAATATTGGGGTTATGTTTTTATTTTTATTTTTATTTTAATTAAATCATAGCTGTGTACATTAATGCAATCATGGGGTACAGTGTGGTATTTCATATAAAATTTGAAATATTTTCATCAAACTGGTTAACATAGCCTTCATGTCATTTTCTTAGTTATTGTGTTAAAATGTTTACATTCTACGTTTAGAAAGATTCACTTGTACCCTTGTAAAACAAAACATAGAGGTGATCCCTCCAATCACCCTCCCTCCACCCATCTTCCCCCCTCCTCTCCCCTCCCCATCTCCCCTCCCCATATTCTTATGCTATATAATTCATAATAGGGCTGTATACATTGGACACATTTTCTTCCTTTCTTGAGATACTTTGCTAAGAACATTTTCCAGCTTCATCCATGTAAACACGAAGGAGGTAAAGTCTCCATTTTTCTTTAGGGCTGCATAATATTCCATGATGTACATATACCACAATTTATTAATCCATTTGTGGATCAGTGGGCACGTGGGCTTCTTCCATGACCTAGCAATTATCAATTGGGCTGCAATAAACATTCTGATACAAATATCTTTGTTGTAATGTGATTTTTGGTCTTCTAGGTATATACCTAATAAAGGAATTGCAAGATCAAATGGCAGGTCTATTTTTAGTTCTCTAAGTGTTCTCCAGACATCTTTCCAAAACGAATGTATTAGTTTGCATTCCAAGCAGTGGTTATGTTTTTAAAGGAGGGTCAATATAAAGGAGATGATACTGCTTCTCTCACAGGTGACAGGTTATACTTGGGTTTTTTTTGTTTTTTTTTTTTGCAGTTTTTGGCTGGGGCTGGGTTGAATCTGCCACCTCTGGAATATGGGGCCCGTGCCCTACTCCTTTGAGCCACAGGGGCTGCCCAGGTTGTACTCTTTTTTAAGACTTAAAGATATAGCTTATGGTCCCAGGATGGTGGCTCCTTTCTGTATTTATAGCAATTTGGGAGGCCAAGGCAGGAGGATCCCTGGAGCTGAGTAGTTGCAGAACAGCCTGAGGAAAAGCAAGGCCCCATGGCTATTAAAAATAAAAAAAAAACAGGGCAGCACCTGAGGCTCAAAGGAGTAGGGCGCTGGCCCAATATACCAGAGGTGGTGGGTTCCAGCTCCAGCCAAAAAGAAAAAGAAAAAGAAAAGAAAAGAAAAAACAAATTAGCCAGGTATGGTGGTGGTTTCCTATCGTCCCATGTACTCTGGGAGCTGAGGAAGGGGGATCGCTTCAGCCTAGGAATTTGACATTGCTATGAAGTATGATGTGGAGGGTCAATGGTTGTACTCTGCAGATTATCTGAGAGACAGGCTTTTATAGCTTTCATGTACAGGAGTGTACACTAGTAAAATTGTATACAAGGACAACTACAGGGTGAGAATGCTGTTGTACTGAATAAGGTTTAAAATGACAAACTCATCAGTGAGGTGGGTTACTAGACAAGGTGATAGCTAGAGAAATTTCTCCAGGCAAGATTAGGATATAAAAGGGTAGATTTTATATTATCTTAGAAAGAGAAAAGAGAAGGAGTAAGAAAGGGAAAGGCAATGGGGGAACAGAGAGAACAAACAGAGAGATGACATGGCATCCTCCAGAAAAAAAATGAAAGCAGTTGAGGCCAACCCACTGCTGAATTATGGGGTACAAAAAATGAAATTGCAGCCAAATTCACAAGGTACTATGGATGTGAATCCTCTGCATGTTTTTCCTCCAGTAAGTTTGAAGACAGACAACTTTCCAGGTGTTTCTAAACCTGAGGCCTGAGGATCGTATTCCATTTGGGGGAGTTTTTCAGAAACAAATTCTAAAATGCAGATTTAGTTAATGGGTCCAGTAATGGAAATACATACATATACATATACATACATACATATATATATACATACATATATGTGTGTGTGTATGTGTATATACATGTGGATATTTTACATATATATATGGAGATTATGTATGTTTATATAAATGTATATATATCTCCTTTGGAGTGCTGCAATCTTCATTAGCTTGTAAAAAGTGAACTCCAGAGGCTGGAGATGGGGTGGGCATGCAAAAATATAAAAGCACATAGAGAAATTATTGATACCTTAAGTCTTATAAGAATTAAGTAGCTTCCCATGGGTTACATATACAAGATTGTAGTTGTTACCCAGAATTGTAACCATTTATTAATGCATAATATGCATATAAATTGCTCTAATAACCCATTAATAATTGTAGTGTGTCCCCCAATTATTTCTACCCAAGTTTGCTTCCACATTTCCATCAAATATTTTAAAGAAACAATGCAATCAGAAAACATCAGATAGTGCTAACATAAAGTTTTCTGTTTATCTAGTTGTTCATCTGATTTTGAGTGAAGTTAAATGCCCTGCCATGGCTAAGTCAATGTCATTAAAATCCTTTTATTATCAATGTCTTGAGTGCATATCAGTCATGTTCTAAACATCTACTTATGCTCATGTGAATAAGTGAATAAGCAGATGGTCTGAAGGAAAGAAATTCTGTTGTGAATGGGATGACTAGTAATTTGGAACTTTATTTTCACCATCAAAGAACAAAAACTTGGTGGTCGTGGATCTCGAAGCATCAGTATCAGAGGGCTGAGAGTGGGATAACATGCAGCCAGAAAGGTGGCAACATTATGAAACCAATGTTGAGTTTTGAAAAACACAGTATTATAAATTATAAGGAAGGAATTAATAACGTAAAATAAAATGAAGGTAGTTGCCAAAAGTAGGATGGTCTGAGTGGCTTTTGCCTCAGGAGAGAACCTGTGGGAGGTACTGAGGGTATGAACATGCCTCACTCTCTGGTGGTGTCTGTGTAGGAGGAGGACCATGTAGACACTGGCCCCAGCCATGAGTCCCATGAACACAACATCTGGGAAAGTGAGTAGAGTTGTGTAAATCACAGCATAATTTGCTTCAGGTCTTTCAGAAGAGCAGATTCCATAATCCCGTGTAACAGTAGAATTGTGAATATTCTGAAGGGCCTGAATCTTTATAGGAACAAAGATGTTTATTAGCAGATTGGAAATCCAGCACAGAATGCAGGAGATCCCAACGTTCTTCAAAACTGTGTCTTTGAGCTTCACCCACCCTCCAGATCTAGGGCTGATGGTGACAGCTTGAAAACTGCTCAAGTGGGAAGTCATGCAGAGAGAAAGACCCCGTGATGTTCTATGGATATAATAGACCAGTTTACATGCAGTATTTCCCAGGATATTTTTCACTCTCCAGACAAATATCATTTGAGGAATTACTTTGAAGAGCAGAGTCAAGAGGTTGGCCACAGCAAGGTTGGTGAGGATCAGGTATGTGGGCCTTGGTGTCTGGCTAGTGCAAGTTCTGGAGGCATAGGTGAAGAGAAGAAAGGTGTTTCCCAGGACCTCAATCCAAGTTTGAACCATAAATAGTAGCCTCAGGATCAAATCAACAAGAGTCATTCTCATGGGATCATGAAGAAGTTGTTCAGAAAAGAGCCTGAAAGTTATAGAGTTAGAATTCAGAGTAATAGCACTAGTCTTAGATTTTCTCTGGAATTTCTAGTTCTAAAGGAGACTCCTGGGTCATCAGTAACTCCTCTAAGTACAGCAGTTACATTTACAGGGAGGGGACTTCACACTGGCGCTCACTACTGCCACTCAGAGTAGTCAGCCTTATTTTACCCTCCCAGGGCCATGCAGGATTGGGTATTATTTATTCTGTTTCCCAAATCCTACAGGGCACCATTCTCAGGCAAAGCTTTATCTTCCACATGAAAAATGTCTCTGAAACACACACTGTATGCAGAATAATTTGTCAGTCTTTGGATATACAAAGATTAAGTGACCTGGGTCATTGTTACTAAGAGCTCAGAGCCCAGTGTGGGAGACATATATGTAAATTATGGTAATAGGAAGATGCAAATGACCCCATGAGTGAAGCATATACAGGGTGTTATGGAGACATACAGCAGGGATTATAGCATTACTGGATGTATGGTCACATACAGAAATTCCATTATTTTTATTATCTTAGTAATCTTCTCTCCAAAATTATTTAGTTAATATATATGTGTATCACAAGTAGTAAAATAATATAAAGGCACACACAGAAAAGAATTATTTTATACTCCACTTGTCATTTACAATCCTTCTCTGAGATAACTATACATCTCAATTATAGATTCTTTCACTATTTTCTTCATGTTCATACAAAATGTGTGGGTTCCAGCAATGAATAATACATATAGTACTAATTTGCTGCTTATTTTTATTAATTTAAACCACACTGTCTCATAGCTTATGGGTCAAAGATAATAATTGTACTTGACACATGGCATTAAGAAGATGACATACTATGATGATGTGAACCATATTCCAGAAATTCAGGGAAAATTAAACATCATAAAATCTAATACCAAAGTTGACTGCATAAATATTTTTTAAACTAAATGACTGTCTTCATTAATAGTAACAAATGCTTTAACAAATATCAGCAGCATTAATTTTAAAAAGCAAAGATATGGATATTTTCTTAGCATGACTATGTATGTGCATATTCTGGCACTTTATTTATGCTTTGCTTTATAAGAAAGCAAAGAGGCCCATTCTTTTAATAACAATAATTACTGTCCTGTAAGTATGAGTAATTATATAGGAGGAAATAAATTAGCATAAAATCTCAGAAAGAGGGTGGCGCCTGTGGCTCAAAAAGGAAGGGCGCTGGTCCCATAAGCCAGAGGTGGCGGGTTCAAACCCAGCCCTGGCCAAAAAAAAAAAAAAAAATCTCAGAGAGAAAGAACCTGTTTGCAGTTTCCATGATAGTATGATAAGCACTCCCTAGAGAATCAGACTTAAAAGTTGATTCAAATAATAGAAGAATTTATAAAGGGAGCAAGCTATAAAATTAATATTCAAAAATCAATAGCCTTCATATCCACAAAAAAATCAGTTACATGATGAAAAAGAAAGTCCTACCTTTAAAACCAATCAAAAGGTATAATATTTCAGAATAAAATGAAGAAACTTGATAAAGAAAAGTTTTAAACTGCCCAGTAGAAAGAAGTCCTGGTTAGTGGAAGATATTTCTCATTCCTGGGCCAGATATGGAAACCTCATAAAGTTATCAATTCTCCAGAAGTTAATCTGAAACTTTGATGGAGCAAGTGAATATAATAATCGTATTATGGAGCCAGAAAATTTGACACTAAAAATTAAATAAAAAATAATATGCAAAATTCAGCAGAAGGGATAAAGAAGAGCTGCGAACTATGGAACTGTTCCCCTCAATTACTAGAACACACTTCAGCATCACCACGTAAAAGTGTTACACTAGCACACAGATAGACAAACAGAACAGAAGGATATCTAAAATTTTAAAAATTATACAGCCATGTGAATCTTACATGAAAATAGGGGTGAATTACTCTATGACCTGAATATGAGGAAAGGCTTTCTAACTATGCCTGAAAATGAAAAGGCAAGAATGTTGTAACATTAACAACATAAAAGTTAAGACTAAAACTTACATGGCCAAGCGCTGAGAGAAATACACTTTCTGCTTCTGGTACATCTGAAAACATCCATCGCTACACTTTCTGCTTCTGGTACAGCTGAAAACATCCATTTCAACCTTTTTTTTTTTTGGAAATAATGACCATAGACTCTGAAAAAAAATATAAAACCCCGGTGTCTTTAGAGTTCACTAGTGACTGAACAGAAGCAGGCAGATCCTAGAAGGAGTTTGACCTTGACAGAGAAGGTTAAGTTTTCCACTTTTATAAATGACTCTGACTCTAAAGGAGGCTGTGGTTGGTACTCCACAAAGTGATTAAAGCCAAAGTAGACAGTCCTATAGTCCCATTAGCCAAAAGAACAAAAAGAGAAAGTTAAGGACAACTGCAGAGGCTGCAAAGGAAAAAATTGTGGAAGAAGAGAGAAAGGTAGGGCCGTAACATGTAGGTGTGTTTTTTCTCCAAGTCTCTGGCAGATGCCAACCTGCTCACAGAAGTCTAAAGTGAATGAGCTAAGACTTCTGAATATGGAGTGTGAGTTAATCAGATTAACCATGTACTGAAAGGACAAAAATCTATGCTGTTTGTTTATCTCATGAAAATGTAACTGAATGCAGTCTCTACAATGTCTGAGGACACAATTCAAAATTACTAAACAGTGTGACCCACGTTCAAGGCAACAATCAATGGAGACTAAACCCAAGAGAACCCAAATGTTGGAATTAGCAAATAATTATTTTAAAGCTGATTTTATTACTGTTATCAAATGGATAAAGAAAAATTAGTGAGGAGAAATTAGAACTACATAGGAAACACAGTGAAAATTCTAGAACTGAAAAATACATATTAAAAGTTAAAAACAACACTATGATTAAAATATCTAAGCTTAAGTAACTAGATTATTTATTTAAGATAAAAACTAGACAAAACCTTAAGAAGCAGAGGATTAGAGAACATGTTGACACTGACAGAAAATGGAGGATTATATACATTTGTGTGATACTGCAATTTAATTGCGTGTGTGTGTGTTTTTGCCTTTAGGTCTTGACACAGTTGAATCCCTTGTTCATATAGGTAGTAGGAAAGGTATTTGTCTTTGACTCTGGTTCAGGACACAACTATGGTAAGATGTCTATAATTTTCTGAGTGGTATAAGCATCTGACACAGGTCTCCTAAATCCTCCTTTGTATTTCCTGTCGATGGGAGCATCTTCTGTCCAAACAAGATAACTCTCAGTGTACTCCTGGGCAACCTAGGATGGGAACTGGTAGCCAGGGGAACCAACCTTGTAATTAGATGGTAGGAATACTTACCTCCATCCCTAATCTCCAGAGAAAGACAGGGGATGAAGTTTCAGCTGGTTAACACATGACAGGATTTTTATCAATCATAATACAAACATTCTTGTATAATCAAGAGTTAATAAAAACCCAATGGATAGGGTTTGGAGACCTGTCTAGTTGCTGAACACATGTGTAACTGCTTTTGGCTCCAGATGGCCACACTCCTGCTGCCAATTCCAGCAATGAGACTGACCCATTACTTTGCATTTTCTGATCTATGTTCCCTTTCTAATGTTTTTGCTTCAGCAAGTGTAAAAAGACTCACTTACCTGCTTGTCTGTCAAGAAGAGACTTTTCTGTAGAGTAACAGTGTGGGCTCCAATAAGAACAGGGAGACTGAAGACAGTAGTCTCAAATCCTGAAAAAAATAAAACCAAACTAAACAAAAATTCTCTCACTGAAGTTAGCACACTTGACCACCATCTATTTCACCAAAATTGAGGCATGGCTCAGGTCAGAGACTGTACAACCAGAGAAGGAATATGCCATCTCAGTCACAGACCAAATCAGGCTGGGCGAATTAGCCTTTCCTTCAAGTCAAATCATGGCAAGGTGACCACCACTGGGCTGATCCATCAAGTCCAAACCCCAAGCTGATCCAGGTTCACACTCATAGGGTGAACCCATTCCTATGAGACCACAAAAATTAAGATCCAAACAGTGAAATTTACTGAGAATTGACCCTCTGCCACATACTGCTTGGAGAGTCAAATATATCAATTCATTAATTCTCTGATATCCTAAATACGGTGGATACCCTTCTCACTTGGCAGAAGATAACAATCAGACAGGGAGAAGACAAGTGTTTCACCCAAAGTTTTACAACTCACTAATGGCAGATGAGGTATCTGGCCCCAGTAATGCAGGGTCTAAGAGTCTTGTCCTAGACACTGTTAAGCTCAAGAGGAATAGTTTCTTATGCTGTCTGCTGGAATTCTCTTTATGAAGCAATTTTTAACCTGACAGCAGGAACAATCACAAGGCAAAAGTAAATAACCAAGCCACCAAGAAATTTGAGCAGTGGAAGTACCACAGAGGGGGACATCAGTTATACATAAATATGAAAACAGAAAAGGAATCAGGTTGTGAGGGGACAGGTCAGACACTGGGGAACAGCTGGACCGAAAGCTCCTGGATGGGAAGTGCTGGGAAAAAATCCCTGGATCCTGAAGGGAATTGACTCACAGACAATAATGAGGGAGAAAATGGAATTGGGACCTAGTCACATAAGAGGAAATATGATGAGAGGTGTGGAGAAAATAATAGTAGTCAGGGAAATGGAAATGCAGATAAAGAGAAAGGTTGGAACAGCACTGCCACTTTCTGTGTTTCTAACCAATTACCTAACAGGTGGATCAAGGTCCATTCAGAGAAAATACCAGTCCATACAATTTATTGATGACTTTCTGTGTGTTGGGCTTTAGGTCTGGGTAGAGGAGTCCCATGTATGCTAATACTGAATGTCCAGTTTAAATAATATCCTCAACTTATTTTATGTGGATAGAAAATGAGACACAGATTCATATAACATTCTGATAAATGCAAACTCATCTGAAATAATATAAAGCAGGTCATTAACTAGTGACCTTGTGCCTAGTGTAAGATGGAGGG